TGTACGGTCATTCCAGACATTGTACAACCATTCCAGACATTGTACAATCATTCCAGACATTGTACGGTCATTCCAGACATTGTAAAACCATTCCAGACATTGTACAATTATTCCAGACATTTTACGGTAATTCCAGACATTGTACGGTCATTCCAGACATTGTCCAATCATTCCAGACATTGTCCAATCATTCCAGACATTGTCCAATCATTCCAGACATTGTACAGTCATTCCAGACATTGTCCAGTCATTCCAGACATTGTCCAATCATTCCAGACATTGTCCAATCATTCCAGACATTGTACAGTTGTTCCAGACATTGTACAGTCATTCCAGACATTGTACAATCATTCCAGACATTGTACAGTCATTCCAGACATTGTACAGTCATTCCAGACATTGTACAATCATTCCAGACATTGTACAGTCATTCTAGACATTGTATGGTCATTCCAGACATTGTACGGTCATTCCAGACATTGTCCAGTCATTCCAGACATTGACCAATCATTCCAGACATTGTATGGTCATTCCAGACATTGTCCAATCATTCCAGACATTGTCCAATCGTTCCAGACATTGTACAGTCATTCCAGATATTGTACGGTCATTCCAGACATTGTACAGTCATTCCAGACATTGTACAGTCATTCCAGACATTGTACGGTCATTCCAGACATTGTACAGTCATTCCAGACATTGTCCAATCATTCCAGACATTGTACGGTCATTCCAGACATTGTATGGTCATTCCAGACATTGTACAGTCATTCCAGACATTGTACAGTCATTCCAGACATTGTACAGTCATTCCAGACATTGTACAGTCATTCCAGACATTGTACAGTCATTCCAGACATTGTACGGTCATTCCAGACATTGTACAATCATTCCAGACATTGTATGGTCATTCTAGACATTGTCCAGTCATTCCAGACATTGTACGGTCATTCCTGACATTGTATGGTCATTCCAGACATTGTACGGTCATTTCAGACATTGTACAATCATTCCAGACATTGTACGGTCATTCCAGACATTGTACGGTCATTCCAGACATTGTCCAATCATTCCAGACATTGTCCAATCATTCCAGACATTGTACAGTCATTCCAGACATTGTACAGTCATTCCAGACATTGTACAATCATTCCAGACATTGTACAATCATTCCAGACATTGTACAGTCATTCCAGACATTGTACAGTCATTCCAGACATTGTACAATCATTCCAGACATTGTACAATCATTCCAGACATTGTACAGTCATTCCAGATATTGTACAGTCATTCCAGACATTGTACAATTATTCCAGACATCGTATGGTCATTCCAGACATTGTACAATCATTCCAGACATTGTACAGTCATTCCAGACATTGTACAATTATTCCTGACATTGTACAGTCATTCCAGACATTGTACAATCATTCCAGACATTGTACAGTCATTCCAGACATTGTACAGTCATTCCAGACATTGTACAATCATTCCAGACATTGTGCAGTCATTCCAGACATTGTACAGTCATTCCAGACATTGTACAATCATTCCAGACATTGTACAGTCATTCCAGACATTGTACAGTCATTCCAGACATTGTACAGTTATTCCAGACATTGTACAGTCATTCCAGACATTGTACGGTCATTCCAGACATTGTAAGGTCATTCCAGACATTTTACGGTCATTCCAGACATTGTACAATCATTCCAGACATTGTCTAGTCATTCCAGACATTGTACAATCATTCCAGACATTGTACAGTCATTCCAGACATTGTACAGTCATTCCAGACATTGTACAATCATTCCAGACATTGTACAGTCATTCCAGACATTGTACAGTCATTCCAGACATTGTACAATCATTCCAGACATTGTACAGTCATTCCAGACATTGTACAGTCATTCCAGACATTGTACAGTTATTCCAGACATTGTACAGTCATTCCAGACATTGTACGGTCATTCCAGACATTGTACGGTCATTCCAGACATTTTACGGTCATTCCAGACAGTGTACAATCATTCCAGACATTGTCTAGTGCCAGTGTGCAATGTTGGCTAAATCATGGATGATTGATACCTGTTTGAACGACATCATACACATCTGTCTCATTATATAGTGGCCAGACAGTGTATGATTTAAGAAAATGTTGGCAATAGACTTTACAACAGTGAGCTGAATGGAATGGTTGACATGGACTCTACAACAGTAAGCTGAATGGAATGGTTGACATAGACTCTACAACAGTGAGCTGAATGGAATGGTTGACATGGACTCTACAACAGTGAGCTGAATGGAATGGTTGACATAGACTCTACAACAGTGAGCTGAATGGAATGGTTGACATGGACTCTACAACAGTAAGCTGAATGGAATGGTTGACATGGACTCTACAACAGTGAGCTGAATGGAATGGTTGACATGGACTCTACAACAGTGAGCTGAATGGAATGGTTGACATGGACTCTACAACAGTGAGCTGAATGGAATGGTTGACATAGACTCTACAACAGTGAGCTGAATGGAATGGTTGACATGGAGTCTACAACAGTGAGCTGAATGGAATGGTTGACATAGACTCTACAACAGTGAGCTGAATGGAATGGTGACATGGACAACAGTGAGCTGAATTGAATGGTTGACATAGACTCTACAACAGTGAGCTGAATTGAATGGTTGACATAGACTCTACAACAGTGAGCTGAATGGAATGGTTGACATGGAGTCTACAACAGTGAGCTGAATGGAATGGTTGACATGGACTCTACAACAGTGAGCTGAAGGGAATGGTTGACATGGAGTCTACAACAGTGAGCTGAATGGAATGGTTGACATGGAGTCTACAACAGTGAGCTGAATGGAATGGTTGACATAGACTCTACAACAGTGAGCTGAATGGAATGGTTGACATAGACTCTACAACAGTGAGCTGAATGGAATGGTTGACATGGACTCTACAACAGTGAGCTGAATGGAATGGTTGACATGGAGTCTACAACAGTGAGCTGAATGGAATGGTTGACATGGACTCTACAACAGTGAGCTGAATGGAATGGTTGACATGGACTCTACAACAGTGAGCTGAATGGAATGGTTGACATGGACTCTACAACAGTGAGCTGAATGGAATGGTTGACATGGACTCTACAACAGTGAGCTGAATGGAATGGTTGACATGGACTCTACAACAGTGAGCTGAATGGAATGGTTGACATGGACTCTACAACAGTGAGCTGAATGGAATGGTTGACATGGACTCTACAACAGTGAGCTGAATGGAATGGTTGACATGGACTCTACAACAGTGAGCTGAATGGAATGGTTGACATGGACTCTACAACAGTGAGCTGAATGGAATGGTTGACATGGACTCTACAACAGTGAGCTGAATGGAATGGTTGACATGGACTCTACAACAGTGAGCTGAATGGAATGGGTGACATGGACTCTACAACAGTGAGCTGAATGGAATGGTTGACATAGACTCTACAACAGTGAGCTGAATGGAATGATTGACATGGACTCTACAACAGTGAGCTGAATGGAATGGTTGACATGGACTCTACAACAGTGAGCTGAATGGAATGGTTGACATGGACTCTACAACAGTGAGCTGAATGGAATGGTTGACATGGACTCTACAACAGTGAGCTGAATGGAATGGTTGACATGGACTCTACAACAGTGAGCTGAATGGAATGGGTGACATGGACTCTACAACAGTGAGCTGAATGGAATGGTTGACATGGACTCTACAACAGTGAGCTGAATGGATGGAATGGTTGACATAGACTCTACAACAGTGAGCTGAATGGAATGGTTGACATGGACTCTACAACAGTGAGCTGAATGGAATGGTTGACATGGACTCTACAACAGTGAGCTGAATGGAATGGTTGACATGGACTCTACAACAGTGAGCTGAATGGAATGGTTGACATGGACTCTACAACAGTGAGCTGAATGGAATGGTTGACATGGACTCTACAACAGTGAGCTGAATGGAATGGTTGACATGGACTCTACAACAGTGAGCTGAATGGAATGGTTGACATAGACTCTACAACAGTGAGCTGAATGGAATGGTTGACATGGACTCTACAACAGTGAGCTGAATGGAATGGTTGACATGGACTCTACAACAGTGAGCTGAATGGAATGGGTGACATGGACTCTACAACAGTGAGCTGAATGAAATGGTGACATGGATCTACAACAGTGAGTTGACATGGACATCTCTACAACAGTGAGCTGAATGGAATGGTTGACATGGACTCTACAACAGTGAGCTGAATGGAATGGTTGACATGGACTCTACAACAGTGAGCTGAATGGAATGGTTGACATGGACTCTACAACAGTGAGCTGAATGGAATGGTTGACATGGACTCTACAACAGTGAGCTGAATGGAATGGTTGACATAGGACTCTACAACAGTGAGCTGAATGGAATGGTTGACATGGACTCTACAACAGTGAGCTGAATGGAATGGTTGACATGGACTCTACAACAGTGAGCTGAATGGAATGGTTGACATAGACTCTACAACAGTGAGCTGAATGGAATGGTTGACATGGACTCTACAACAGTGAGCTGAATGGAATGGTTGACATGGACTCTACAACAGTGAGCTGAATGGAATGGTTGACATGGACTCTACAACAGTGAGCTGAATGGAATGGTTGACATGGAATCATTACAGTTTGTGAAAGAAGACTATTGTAACCAGCAGGGGAGAGAACCCACACAAATGAATGTGGGGCAGAAGCTTAGAACTCTTTTGTGTTGATCAACGCACGATCAGATACAGCTGATGGAAGATATCATTGTTGTTATTGCCAAGGAACTTCCAAATCGTGTTATGTAATCTATCTTATAGATTAACATCACAATAAACTTTAACATTTCTTTCATTGTGCACTTAAAAAACAATTAATCATTAGTCTTGTCTCTAAATGTATCTTCCACATAAAAAAGCCAAAAGACTCACCAGAATAACACCGACACTCGCCTCTGTTCTCATGAGAGAAGTCTGCACAGTAGACCCGCAGGCTTTCACTGTCCAGGGTGCCGTTGTATTCCAGGACACACTGGGCTGCTGCAGAAGCACCACATATACATACGGGTTACATGTACGGTTCTCTAGCATGACATGTTAACAGCAATTAAAAATGACATATAAAATATTAATTACAATAACTCAAGTCTAGATTATTTCATTCAATAAATAAATACAGTTTTTTGTTTTTTTTTTACATTCGGTACTAACTGTTGTAAGAGTTACAGCTTTAAATGAATGTTTACAAAGAAATAAAAACATCTACTCTGACATTCCCTAAAGTATTACGGGGAAAGAATACTAATCTTTAGACCCTCAGAAAAAGGCTTTCAATTTGAATATATAACTAGGGTTTCTAAAATTTTACAGTATTCAGCTGTCACTTTTCTGGTGCCAGACATAAACCAGAGGTCACTTTTCTGGCACTAGACATGACCCAGAGGTCACTTTTATGGCACTAGATTTGACCCAGATGTCACTTTTCTGGCACTAGACATGACCCAGATGTCACTTTCCTGGCACTAGACATGACCCAGATGTCACTTTCCTGGCACTAGACATGACCCAAATGTCACTTTTCTGGCACTAGACATGACCCAGATGTCACTTTCCTGGCACTAGACATGACCCAGATGTCACTTTCCTGGCACTAGACATGACCCAGATGTCACTTTCCTGGCACTAGACATGACCCAGATGTCACTTTCTCAGCACCAGTTAAGAAGTCAGTTGCATATTCATTACAGGACGTTGCAAAATGAGCTCCAGCATTTTTTTTTGGGGCTGCTGTGGTTTTTCTAGGCAAATTTTACGTTCAGTAGTTTGCCATTGCTTACTGAACAGTCAGCTCTCAGTACTACCATCAAAACCAATGCAAGACAAATCATCCACAGTTGGGATCGAACTCGGCACCCTGGCATTACAAAGTGCATTCACAACACTTGAGCCACAGACCTCTAGCACCAGACATGAACCAAATGTCACTTTCCTAGCACCAAACATGACTATTAATCTTTGATTTGATTCAAAAACCGACATCACAGCACTCGGGACATTCTCATAAACATTTTGTCCCCATCTTCAGCAGCCAGCAAAAAGTTCCAATACTAATGGTGCCAGTAGCATTCTGATTAAACGTCCATCCTGACTTTCCTCTGAGCCTCGAGCATTTGCAAGAACCTGTCGTCACTCCCCCCTGCATCATAAACATTTTGTCCCCATCTTCAGCAGCCAGCAAAGAGTTCCAATACTAATGGTGCCAGTAGCATTCTGATTAAACGTCCATCCTGACTTTCCTCTGAGCCTCGAGCATTTGCAAGAACCTGTCGTCACTCCCCCCTGCATCAATGACACCAGACTGTGGTGATCCATCTGCTCCTCCAAACTGTACTCGCTCTTCCACAAGGCACTAACCATGTCTGCCTTTTCATGTATCAGTATTCCACCAAGTTGTGCAGAGCCAGCCAGTCTGTCCGCCTCTTCATTCCCCAACACACCAGCTATTAATCTTTGTTAATTACCTATGATGATGGACGTCTTGTGGCACATAGTCCCAGAGACCTGTGGCAAAGTCATAGACAACCCCAGAGACCTGCGGCAAAGTCATAGACAGCCCCAGAAACCTGTGGTAAAGTCATAGACAGCCCCAGAGACCTGCGGCAAGGTCATAGATGGTCCCAGAGAGCTGTGGCAAGGTCATAGACAGCCCCAGAGACCTGTGGCAAGGTCATAGACAGCCCCAGAGACCTGCTGCAAGGTCATATACAGCTCCAGAGAGCTGCAGCAAGGTCACAGACAGCCCCAGAGACTTGCGGCAAAGTCATAGACAGTCCCAGAGACCTGTGGCAAAGTCATAGACAACCCCAGAGACCTGCGGCAAATTCATAGACAGCCCCAGAGACCTGCGGCAAAGTCATAGACAGCCCCAGAAACCTGTGGTAAAGTCATAGACAGCCCCAGAGACCTGCGGCAAGGTCATAGATGGTCCCAGAGAGCTGTGGCAAGGTCATAGACAGCACCAGAGACCTGTGGCAAGGTCAAAGACAGCCCCAGAGACCTGCTGCAAGGTCATATACAGCTCCAGAGAGCTGCAGCAAGGTCACAGACAGCCCCAGAGACCTGCGGCAAAGTCATAGACAGCCCCAGAGACCTGCGGCAAAGTCATAGACAGACCTAGAGACCTGCGGCAAGGTCAAGCAGTTTATTACTGGAACTAAAATACATCTATAGACACACGCAAAATATTTTCACATTTCAGAACTATCCAAAATCAAAAACTGTTTTCAGTACTTTTGGGCAAAACAAAATACTCACAATTTTAAAACTGTAAATGGTTGTCCAAAGGACGTTGTGTGGAAAAGCTCGCCCCCCTACGAAATACGCCTGGCCAAATCAAAGGGAAACAACGCAAACTGGAAACACCAAGTAAGACGAGGGAAGACATGCTCAAGTAACAACAGGGTGGAGGATGAGCGGTCTGATCCGGATGGAAGCATCAAGCCCAGAAATGTCGCAAACACTAGAAATCAGTCACGAAAGTGACGCAAATAACCCAGACCACAAATAAAGGCAGAGACTGTTAGCAGCCTCGGCTAGCTAGCAGAAGTCTGAAAGTGGTTGATATTTTCCTTTTTTTCTCAAAAGGACTAGGACATCTTTAGAAGGGCAAGGAATGGCCATGCCATCTTTAGAAAAGGTTTTATTTGAGATAAAATTGATGACAATAATTAACTTTTACTCTAAGGGAATAACAAATTCACCAGGAGACAATTTTAGTAAGATTGTATATTTATTCACTGTACAATTTCTATCATTATCGCAGCCCAAATCAAAGCAATATGGCATACAATACAAATTGTATATCCCTCTTATATAAATAATTACACGATATATCAATTTAAAATAACAAATATTTACTCTGAGAACTCGAACAAACACTCTATATCCCAATTATAACCCTGAGGGTTGAACAGGATAGATTTGAAAAGTTGTTACTACTACAAATAAATATAAACCAAATTCCACTTTCTTGGCACCAGACATGAACCAGATGTCACTTTCTTGGCACTAGACATGAACCAAATTTCACACAGGGCAAACAGCCAACCTGCAGTATCAAGTCATGAAGTTCTGTGAGCTTTCCTAGACTTACCAGCAGATCCAGTCTGGAAAACTTCAACATGTGCCGGTGCCAGCCGCTCCACTTCTTCATGGTCGACAGCTCTAAAGGCCACACATGTTTGTTGTGTGCAAGATATCTACAGGGATTGTCACAGTCAGTGTAAGCATTCTTTTTTAAATTTTATATCACTAAGATGTTACCCAATATCTCATAATTTCTTATTTATGTTCTGTTAATTTGTATGCTCACATATGATGCACTGTTAGCTGTTGTTGTTGTAATGTGTATGCTCACATATGATGCACTGTTAGCTGTTGTTGTTGTAATGTGTATGCTCACATATGATGCACTGTTAGCTCTTGTTGTTGTAATGTGTATGCTCACATATGATGCACTGTTAGCTGTTGTTGTTGTAATGTGTATGCTCACATATGATGCACTGTTAGCTGTTGTTGTAATGTGTATACTGTTAGCTGTTGTTGTTCGTCCATCAATGAGTGATGAAGACCACCTTTCATCCACAATAGTAATGATAAATGATTTTGAGTACGAATGTGGCTGATTAGTCCAATATGAGCCTGGAAAGCTCTTGAGCAGTGCCTACAACAGGTGGAAGCCACGGTAAGTGTGGGATTAGCGATACTGTTCTTTCTAATCTGCCTCTGTTTCTCTGCCTGTCAAACCTTCACTGCCTGGCAGGCTGATGCACCATGCCTGGGGGTTGTTCACCATTCAGAACAGTCCTCTGCAGCAGCCTCCTATGTTGACTGGTGATGCCAAAAGAATGAAAACAGTTTTGAGTGTGTCTTTATAGCGCTTTTTCTGTTCACTTTAAGACCTCTTCCTTTGCTTGAGCTCACCATTAAATACTATCTTTGGAAGGCAATAGTCTGGCATGCAGATTGGGTGACCAGCCAAATGCAGCTGCAAATTCTTCAGTATCGTCTGGATGCTAGGCAGGTTTGCCCTGTCACAAACCACAGTGTTTGGGATCCTATCTTACTGTTAGCTAGGGGAGCTGTGGTAGTGTTAGGGCTGATTTCTGGTGGTACACAATGGTACGCAGTACCAGCACCTTTACAAAATATATTTTAATTTTTGGGTGCTTTTATAAAGTACACTCTGTGGCAAGTACTAGCACCCTTTGTCTTTAAAAAACTCTTAGAGGTGAATGCTTGTTGGCCGAAGGTCTGGGTTCAAATCTGCATCGAGGTGGATTTGAAAATTAAAAAATATGGCTTGGCTCCCAGGTTGGCCCTGCCTAAAAAATGTAACAGGTATTTTCCTGGGTAGTAAAGGTGGCCAGCATAATACTGACCACATCAGCCATCAAGCGACAGTTTGTCGATACAGATATAGGTCGAGCACTAGAGGGCCCAAGCGCCAGGGGCATGAAACAGATGCTGGACTTCATCAACTGGTAGCTTGAGGTCAAGAAATAAATGATACAGCTTTCCTACAGTCATTCTGCTCTGTGGGAAACAGTCAAGTCCTACTTGATCTGAGCAAGCCATTCTGCTCTGTGGGAAACAGTCAAGTCTAACTTGATCTGAGCAAGACACTCTGCTCTGTGGGAAACAGTCAAGTCTAACTTGATCTGAGCAAGACACTCTGCTCTGTGGGAAACAGTCAAGTACTACTTGATCTGAGCAAGCCACACATCATCATGTCAGCGTCTCAGCTGTAAGTTTCCAAGGACGCCTTGAGGACAGTTTCCAGGGAAAACTTAAGGATGGATAAAGAAAAGAAAGACAGAATATTCTGGAGTGGTAATATTAAACTACTTCTTCTTGCAATCACTTTATAATTTACACCAACAGATGAGTTCTTGAGATCACTATATGATTTACACTAACAGATGAGTTCTTGAGATCACTTTCTGATTTACACCAACAGATGAGTTCTTGTGACAAACTTAACTTTTTGTTCCATACAACGTTGATTGTAGTGTTGACAATGGGCCATTATTCCCTTCCTAATGGTCTGAACAAGGGACATTCTTGCAGGAAATGTTCTGTAGTCTGCACACACAGCCCACAAGGGCACAAAGGTAAACTACTTAAACGAAGCCCATGCATATGCCAGTTAAGTTTGTTGTTATGCCCTGTCTTGAGGCATAGAATAATGATCTGCCCGTGCCAGTCAAGTAAGTGGTAGTCATCTCTGACCAGATTCTGTTCACTTCTGATAGACTGGATGGCCTTTTTCTTCTCAAAGTATGTTACTGCATTCTTATTCTGTTCACATTCTTCTCTGCTCCTTTCTTAGCAAGTTTATTCACAGTTTAATTTGCTGCTATATCTCAGTGGGGTGCACCCATTGTAGTACTGTACACTCTTGGACAGGCACCTTGCCAAGTTCAGATCACTGGTGAGGGATTTTACCACTTTCGAGGGTTTGGAGCACTGATGGCACGTCTGTGTGAAGATGACCACCTGATGGCAGTAAGAGCTGGTGTTGTATAGCCTAATGATGACCACCTGGTGGCACTCAGAGCTAGTGTTGTGAAGCTTGAAGATGACCACTTGGTGGCAGTCACAGCTGGTGTTGTGTAGCCTAAAGATGACCACTTGGTGGCAGACAGAGCTAGTGTTGTGTAGCCTGAAGATGACCACTTGGTAGCAGACAGAGTTAGCATTGTGTAGCCTAAAGATGATCACTTGGTGGCAGTCACAGCTGGTGTTGTGTAGCCTAAAGATGACCACTTGGTGGCAGACAGAGCTAGTGCTGTGTAGCCTGAAGATTACCACTTGGTGACAGACAGAACTAGTGTTATGTAGCCTGAAGATGACCACTTGGTGGCAGTCACAGCTGGTGTTGTGTAGCCTAAAGATGACCACTTGGTGGCACACAGAGCTAGTGCTGTGTAGCCTGAAGATTACCACTTGGTGACAGACAGAACTAGTGTTATGTAGCCTAAAGATGACCACTTGGTGGCAGTCACAGCTGGTGTTGTGTAGCCTAAAGATGACCACTTGGTGGCAGACAGAGCTAGTGCTGTGTAGCCTGAAGATTACCACTTGGTGACAGACAGAACTAGTGTTATGTAGCCTGAAGATGTCCACTTGGTGGCAGTCACAGCTGGTGTTGTGTAGCCTAAAGATGACCACTTGGTGGCAGTCACAGCTGGTGTTGTGTAGCCTGCTCTAATGCTAGGATCTATGCTGTACCGTTGGAACTAAACTGACCAGTGGGCACATGCACAAGTAAAGTATTTTCACAACTGTGCACATTGTTGATGTTCATTGTTGATGTGTTGATGCACATTGTTGATGCACATTGTTGATGCACATTGTTGATGCACATTGTTGATGCATATTGTTGATGCACATTGTTGATGCACATTGTTGATGCACATTGTTGATGCACATTGTTGATGCACATTGTTGATGCACATTGTTGATGCACATTGTTTATGTACATTGTTGATGCACATTGTTGATGCACATTGTTGATGCACATTGTTGATGCACATTGTTGAGGACAGGAGGAGAAAGAGAACTAAGACCACTGGCACCTCTCACATGAGACTCCTATGACCCAGTTCTACTCTCATTTCCCATGGCTTGCTGTTAATCATATTTTCACATGTTCTCATAATTTATGCGTTGCTGTTGGTCACGTTTCTAGATAATCTGATACATTTTGTGGACCAAAAAAACTTGTCTTGTTGGGATACTGAAGGATTGATTATTTGTGATTGTTTTTCTTCTTTATGTCTGGAACTCAGTCATGCTTAAGTCTCCATGTAAATATCATAGAGTTTGTTAATTTTAGGTCCGTGATATTTCCCCACAGTTTGTGAATGCCATTTTTATTGTTTCCAGTCAGTTGACAGGAACACACATAGTGTCTGGCCATCATTGAGATCATTAAGTTTCATCCAAAATCATATTCTGTCTAGACACCTGCTCTCTCTCTCTCTCTCTCTCTCTCTCTCTCTCTCTCTCTCTCTCTCTCTCTCTCTCTCTCTCTCTCTCTCTCTCTCTCTTGCTCTCTCCCAATCTCCCCTCACCCCCTTTCTCACTCTCTCTCTTTAACTCTTTCTCCCACCTTCTAAACCTCTCTCCCTCTCTCTCTCTTTCTCTCTCTCCCTCTCTCTCTCTCTCTCTCTCTCTTTCTCTCTCTCCCCCTCTCTCTCTCTCATTATTAAGATGAGTTGTAAACAGATATTAAATCCTATTCTCCAAAAGCAGACTATCTCAGTACAATAATTACCCCAGAAAACTGAACTCTGAGTACTTGCTGCTTGTCATCATAAAACACCCGTCTCACATTTGCTTCTGTCTTCATCTAAATCAGTTGAAACAAACAAAAGATAAAACACATCAGGGATTGACACTTCAAGAAAACACTGAAATTAAACAATAATAACAAAATAATAGTTAGTTAATTAGTTGGTTAGTTAGTTAGCTAGCTAGCTAAGTAGTTAGATAGTTAGTTAGTTAGTTAGTTAGTTAGTTAGTTAGTTAGTTAGTTAGGTAGGTAGTTAGTTAGTTAGTTAGTTAGTTAGTTAGTTAGTTAGTTAGCTAAAAAAATTATTAGAAAGATAGTTAGTTAGTCCAGTTAGTTATAATTTATAACAAAATAATAGGTAGGTAGGTAAAAACAAGTAGTCAGTTATGTTAACATTATTTACAGTTACTTAGTTAGTTAGTTAGTTAGTTAGTTAGTTAGTTAGTTAGTTTAGTTAGTTAGTTGTTAGTTAGTTAGTTAGTTAGTTAGTTAGTTAGTTAGTTAGTTAGTTAGTTAGTTAGTTAGTTAGTTAGTTAGTTAGTTAGTTAGTTAGTTAGTTAGTTAGTTAGTTAGTTAGTTAGTTAGTTAGTTAGTTAGTTAGTTAGCTAATCTAAAAATTATCATCATTGCACTTCGGACAAGTCCATGAGCATTATAATTTATAACAAAATAATAAGCCAGGAGCAGAAAAACAAGTGGAACATTATTTACAAATCATACTGCAAAAATTTGATAGCAAAGACAGATAAAATTGTTGTCTAATGTTCATTACATAGGAACGTTATCATTATTTGCTAAACAATCTGGATATCAATTGTCTGTCAGCATATGTTTACATATGCAGAAAAACAATTGTCAATGTTTGTTATATGTTAAGAGTGTCCATGTTTGTTACACATA